AAAAATAATTTTACCGTCATAAGACCGAATTTAAGAGTCATATTTATCATAACAACGCACAGTGGTCTTAAACGATAATTGAACAGGAAAAAATAAATATAAGTCAAAATGTCTACTTCTGTGTAGACAAAAGGTTGATAAAAATGTTTTTAAAATCGTTGAATTGATATTTGACGTTATTTTTTCAATTTTCCATTTTCATAAAGGTAACACATTGTTCTAGAAAGTTATTATAAGGGGACAAAATTATTAATTTATTAAATAACGCTTATTTTGTTGTTGTTGCATAAAAAATCTGATTCAATTAAAAGTTCTAATGTGCGAATTGGCGCAACAAAATCAAATATCTCTAAGAGGACTAGTCATGCTATTAAAAAACACTTATTTAAAACCTTTCTTTTTTCGTATTCATTTTTTAATATTTACACATACATAAACTTCAAATTTTACAAGAAAAATTCAAGTTAAAGTAACATTTGTTAAACTATAAGTTTATTCGTCATTTTGAACAAAAATTAGAAAATACAAATTCATTTGTGTATAACTTGAAACATTATTTTACACTGTAGACTTGAACAATGTATTTTGATTTTAAACACTTCATGTTTAACCATTTGGTAATCCCGTACAGAGTAAAAATTCATTTTACCAACTGAATTTTTTAAAAAATTTTATGCCCCAAACGTTTTAAATTACCACCGAGTTTAGAAAATATTTACTACAACGGGTAGGGCGACAAGTACATTTAAATCAGTTTTTGAAAACGACTTTACGTTCACCGCCTAATACATTTGTAAATTTACTAATGATTTATTTAGTCGATTAATTAAAATTACACGTAAAAAGTTCTACAAATAGTTTTAAAATTACTTATTTTTTTACAATTAATCTAAATTATCTAAAATTAGTATCCGCTTAAAGTTAAGTAAAATATTTTAAGGTAATACCTTTGATAACCTCGTGGTAGAGATATAAATAGATAGAATAATATTCGCTGTGTATTAATGAAATACTCGGATAAAAATTCATTCTTAAATTTTAGAATATTTTAAAACATAGTTTAACCAATACTTTAATATTTTAAACCTAGTTAATTGGTTAGTTAAGACTTAGTTCGCCTGATTGATTAGCGTTATTGTCAACGATTGCTAGCTAAGTCAAAAAGAAAGTCCAGTAACGTACACTAATTTCTAATAGCAAATGTCTAACTGTACGATGACTATAACAATGGCGTGACTGATTCTGCCGCTTAAAATATCAAAATGTTAGTTAAAGTTTGTCTAGAGTGTCTTAATTAGAAGAAAAAATAGAAGCTACAAATATTATTGTAACAAAAAAATGTCTATTTTCTTAGAAAAAAAGAAATTTAAAGAAATCAACAAATGAAAACGTTTAAATTACAATAACATATTTTTAGTATATTTAAGGAAAGCGTCATGGTCATAATTATTGTACACATCTTTTTATGAAGTGGCCTTAATCTTATTACAAGTATTAACAAATTATTTATTAAAACACTTCTTTGTCTTTAATGTGACTTAGCGGTACATTTTTATCTGACACCTTGACTATAATTTTAACGATTTATTGTACATTTTTTCAAATCATATTGTTTCCATTTTTTTTTAACACTTTCTGATTTATTGCTCACGTGATTTGTATATTTAAAATTTTGATTAACAATGAATATTACTTTTAGAGGTCTAACTTAAATATTTTTAGCCTTGCTTAATTATGAAAAAAATGCATCGCACATTCTTATGGTATTCTCTACATTTAACCACACACGGATATTTTTTTAAATATTTGTTGTTATGTAACAGGTTTGATAATTCTAGTATGGAGAATTTATTTTAAAATTTACACTTAAGGTAATTAATTAAAGTGATTAGATTAAATCTGTGTTATTTCAAACATATATGAGATTATTAATACATTTTTTTTATATTTAAGTTATTTTGTTTAATAAACCATAATAATATAAGTAAATTATCTTATACCACCGTTATTAAATGTATAATATGGTAATTTTATTACTTATTAGATTAATGATTTTTAGTACTCATCGAGGAAAAATATATAATTAACTTATAATAATAGGTTAACTATCTTATACCTTATTGTACGTGATTTTTTATAATAAATCAGATTGAAAAACCGTATACGGTTTTTTAAACTTCTTTGTAGACAATGATATTTTTATTAAAGTATCTTATATATTGTTTTTATGTATCAAATAGTACATGGTACCAGTTTGCATTTATTTGGACTACAAACATTTCGGTGCATTTGTTCTTTGTTGTCTTCATTTCTGATGTGTCCAAGTATCAAAAGATAATCAATGATTAATATTATTTAGAAACTTTATATATATATATTTTTTTTTTCAAGAAAATTGCAGTTTTTGTGAATTAAAACTATTCGCGACGTCCTCGATAATATTTAGCAAGTTATCAAATATGTCGCTATATTGTGTTTTTCTCTAATTATTTTTTAAATAGCCATTTGGACAAGACTATTGTATTAAAATGTTTTAAATTTTATTTAATTTGTATACAAAAGGAATATTTACAATCTTTACTAGTTTGTATAATAAGTAGCTTAATTAACTAATATGAATATGTGAAAATTAAACATTTATTAATAAGTTGTATGTCATTAGTTTATTTTTTATAGTATAAAATTCTAACGTCTACCATTTTTTCAAGGTCTTAGAGTACATCTAGAGATATTAGTTATACTCATTGAAATACTACTTTTTAACATTTTAGCTAACTTTATTTGTTATACATGATTTTAATTATTGTTGTTTTAGATAAACATAATTCTCAAGTCACTCTTTACACTGAGTTGCTTAAGTTATGTTTATAATTAATTCTTAAATATATGAATAAAATATCAGACATATGTATTTATAGTCGTAATTATACTTAGTAGCAATAAAAATAAAAAACCTACTATGGTAAAATTAATACCTTGTCAGCTTTTTATCGAAACTAAAATGTATGTAATATACATTTAGTTATATTTACTACTGACTTTAATCCTTATCAATTTATCTCATATCCGGGTAGATTTTTAATTTTGAAATCAAACAACAAATATAACATTAAGGACATTTTTAAAGTAGTTTTTTCACAAATTTAATTATTTCACTATAGCCATATATTTTTATACTCTCCATTGAATATTTGGCTCCAATCCAAAACCCAGTAAAGGAACCAACAAAATAAGATCTTTATATTATAGTTTAGCAATGTAATATGTCTAATTAGCGGAAGAAAACATTTTTTATTATGATTTTGTTTCAAATTTACTTAACTAACACCGGTTTTATTAAGGGAAACGTTTTAAGGGTATAACAACTTTCAAATTTAAACAACTTTAAATTTTCGATTAAAATAAATACACATGAATAATGAATAATGTTTATTTAATTAATACTGGCGTTATTTTTAAGGTTGCTAAGTTTCTCACACCAATATACAATGCAACCGCACATGGTTGTCATAAATTCAATTCAATGTTATAACTATGTCTTAAAATTTTATTTATGTCATTAATATGCAAATATTTGAAGTATAATCGAAAAGGACCTATATCTCAATATTTTGTTTGTGGTTTTCCCAAAAATTACATTTAATTTAATTATTATTAGAAAATTACTTTTTTCTCTCATTGAAAATCTAAATGAATTAAAAATAATCTTAAGAAAATTTAATTGAATCATTTTGTTAAAAGTATTGAAATGCCGTCGGTTATAAATTGATTAGATTGTAAGTAATTACTTACAATTAAATGACGGCTCATTAGCATATATATCGGTAATTTAATAAAACATACTTCCTAATAATGCGAAGGTATTGAATTTAGTAAAAAAAAAAAAATAATAATTTATCGATGAAACATAGTTTACCAATGACAAATCGATTGGACATGATGAATAGGACGGTCAAGTCTGTTGATGATATTAGCACAATTTGTAATTGCCACCATGTAGAAATGTCAATCAATCATTATTTTTTATACGAGTTGGATTATTTATACTTTATTAGGGCTCGTGGGTTACCTTAAATCTTTTATTTGAAAACAAAATCACAGCAAAAGATATTTATAACACATTACACCGTGAAATACTTTTTTCGTCGACTTTGAGAAACATGATAAGCGAATTACCTACGTATACTTTAAGTGTTTGTATTCCTCAAACTTAATTTGACCAACGCGAATATTTTAGAACCAAAGCCTCAATAATGACACGTGTAAGCTAAAGATGATTGTCATCGTCATTTACGATTTCTCTTATAATTCACTTTTAACCTAGACGAATAGTTTTAAACGACTATTAAATAAAAAAATGTATTCCGCCGAACGACTGGATGACCCAAAGAGGACACAAATTTACAAATGCGCTAAACAATCGGTAGTTGTTGTGAGAGAATCGTTAATATGATTGGAACAGAGAGGTTTTTGTCGACTGCAACGAACGACTCTTTTTAATTGGCACGTCACGTGGACATGTCTCTTTAGGTCGATCTACCAGAACAATTAATTGGCGCCGTTCGGAAGAGCATGTGACAACTGCAGAGCAGGTCCGCACGCGTGCTGGTACCTGGTCGGGTCCGCATTGTTTTTAGAAGGACCAACGGAGCGAAGAGAAATTGTATGCACAGTGTTGTTTGATAATAATAATAATAATAATAATACACGCGATAATCTCGATAGGAACACACACGGACGGTTTTATTATTCTAGGACAGCTCGCAGTGGGTACGCTAAATAGTATTTTTAACTATTATGTTTCAGGAATGTCGGGCGACCTTTCTGCCGGTTATCCGGTGCCCCGTGCAGTCCGTCGGCGTTGAAGAGTGAAAACGTCGCGAAAAACCTATCCGGCCTGACGTACTCGTCTCGTTGCTCTTCCGGTACCGCACCGCCCGTATCAGCAACCGGTCCTTACCACAACCGCAACCGTACGCCATTAGGTATCGTACCCACTTGCGTCCCAATCGTTCCACTATCGTTACAACGCCGACTTGTGCGTTCGCGCGTCCGTCACTGTTGGAAATTTATATTTCATTTAATTCACTCGAAATAAGTGTGCGGCCATCGCGATTAGTTTTATTCGTAATTATTAGACAAATTATCCGTACAATTGCTGCTTTCCGTGCGGATATCCATTAAACAACTAATAGTCGTCGTTTTGCGGTAATTAATCGACGAAAACCACCGGCCGTCCTTCAGCCGCGGGACACACCCGAAGCATTAACGCCGGACCGTCTGCAACTATGGACGACAAGGATAAGATACGCAAAATGTTCAGCTGGAGCGCCAGCATAACGTAAGTGCTATTATATTACTCTCAATGTTGCCAATCGACGGGCACCTCACAAACTTTTCATCGGACCGAGTGGGTCTCTAGGAAATGTCCGTCTCGCGACAACATTTGTGGCGCTCGTCTCGGCCGACACTTGTGTTTGTTCTCGGTAAAAAAAAAAACTCTTTGCAATGAACAAGGCGAATTATCCACTGGCTAAATGAAATTTTTTTTCCGCTTCGAGCAACACCTCATAAACAGGAACGTATCGGTCACATCCTCATCATTACATGCCGTCGTTATATCATTATTTACCGTGTAGGACCCTTAGACGCAAAGTTTTCGAGATTGTTGATCGTTGCGCAACAGAAGAAGAAATCGGTAGTAGCGGACAGCGGGGGAACCAACCACACCGGTTTTGTTACGCCACGGCCGTTTAGTGTTCCCCCCCTCCCCCCTCTGAATGCTGGAAAGCTAGTCTAAGGGTGTCGGCCATGAGACCTGATCGTTTTTTATAATGTGCATTTTTTTTATGCGTGTACGTCACATCTTGTAAACAAAATAGTTTAATCCGTCGACGATTTAAGTTAATAGTAATCTTGTACGTAAGTTCCATTACGTAGATCATAACATTCAACACTTATAATAATACGTTCCACTCGAATCTTCGGACTATTTCTTCTCGTCGGACCACTGATTATTTGTTTTTTATTATATAAATTGGAATGTTTCGAACACCGCAGCATTCGATTGACGCCACCAAATATTATGCATTCGGTCATAATAATTTGCGCACGTTCGTTTTAGAACGGCTCAACAATTTACAAAACCAGTGTTTTAAAATTGGTCTTGTGAATTAAAATAATAACAATTCGCAATTACTGCGATAACGTAAAATCAAATAATTATAAGGATCTGCGTAAATAATTTTGACCGTTGCAACGAGATCACACTACTGACACCGACAATAAAACTTCGGATAATCCATTTGTCCTTTAATCGCTGGTTGTAAATAAACGAAAGTGGACTAAAATTGTGTTGATGTAGCAATTTTTAATACATATATAAGTTCTTTGCTAAAAAAATTATTTACAAACTTGCAACCGCTTTCAAATAAGCAAACTCGCACGAATATTATTGATGTAGTCGCACTGCAATAAATCTCTCGTAGAATAGAACGCTTTTAGTTAAATATAGAGTTTTTTAGCTTCGATGCGAAGCTGAGAAGGTATTGGTTTTTTATACTATACTCGTTTTAATACGTCTCTCTTTTTTAAACTATATCATTAATAAAATTTGCAATACGAATATTTTTATTACACATTAATTTTGAACACTAATCATTCAGGTAAAGGTGATCTGCTTATCATACCCCACTAAATTACTCGTTAAATAAATGCAAAAAAAAAACAGTTTTGGATTAGGTACATATGTGACCTAATTTATCAATTATTAATTACTTTAAAGTACCATCCCTTATAACTTTAAGGAGTGTCATCTTCTTTATTTTAATGTAAACATACATATTTAAATATTTTATAGATTAGATAATGATCTAATTGGAACATTTATTTATACCCTTATAATTTTTGATACCATTGTCATTTTGTTGACACTTTTTTTTCTCAATAATAATTGCCTTCTTGGGCTATATTTAAATATTTTATACACAGTTTTTATTATTTATAACTAATAGGAAAAACAAAAATGTTTTTTATTATTTTTGTGAATAATAGAATAGCCATTTTACACCTCTTTTTATAAAAAAAGAAATTTGATGAATCGATAACAATTTTAGGACAAGTACTCATTGAGTTACAAGCATTTTATACATGGAGTGGGTATGAAATGCAGATGGATTGTAAGTACACCGGTGCGAGCTGCAGCCACCCTCACTACATACCCGTTTTATGTATAAAAAATTCAACAAAATGATAATTGTATCAATCAACGTTGTCAGTTAGGATTTCGACATTTTGTATATTATGAAAAATTATAGGTAACATCTGTTATTCAGTTTATCAAAAAGTGTATAACTCATGTATTCCATTTGTTAAAAATGTGTTTCTTTTTTATTGTGTTGTTATGTTTTTTTAAATTATCTAAAAATCATATTACAATGATATATTATATTAAATATTGGGTTACGTTACATTATAATATTGTTTTAATTATAGAATTTCAACGCACTTATGGCCAATGTGTACTAAACAGTATTTTTGGATAGAAATGATATTGCCTTATTAAGAAAAATATTTTTTTAATTTTAAATTCAGTTATTTTCGTTATAACTCATTTGCTCGCCGTTTTAATATAAATATATTAAATAATAAATTATTTATTTAATATTTTTAAAGGAATAAATTGAATGAAAATTAATTATGAAGGCTGATTTCTTTGTTGGAAAAAACAATGATTAAAAAAAAATATTACAATGTCAATAACAATACTATTTAAAAAATTATTTTATTCAAAATTAATTTTATAATCAATTCGAAAAACGTTTGTAATGCACGTCATTATGAAGCAATAAACACGCGGTGTTTTTAAGATTTATAAATGTTTGAATCGTTTTAAATCTCATGAATAGATATTTAGCTCTGCAGTTAAATGCTAACAAATTTAATTTGTATTTTTACTTTAACTTGTATTTGAGTGAAACCTTTGTGAAGTTAACATTCACTATGAAAAAAGTCACGTCCTCAAAGTAATTATCATGATATAATAATTATGTTGTCAATAAAGATAATTTGTTTAACTTTCTTTTTATTTCCATTGATTTTAGTAATTTTATGTGTTGAACGGTAGACAGTGGTTATTTTAATTTTTGCCCAATTACACAACAATTCATCTGAATTAAAATATACACTATTAACTAAATATTTTATAAAACTGAGCATTATGACATAGCGTTCACGAAGATATCCTTGCATGATTATATTTAATTACAGAAATCTGTTCTGTTAAACAAGCGCGCCGCCATGACATGTATAATTATTATAATGTGTGCCTCAAACATTTATTGAATGCCCTAAATTCCAAAACAAGTTTCTATTGATTTTAAAGCTGCTTTTGCTTTTTGCGCGACCTTCTGTTATTACTTAGGTTTGTTGGTCTTGTATATTAAGCTCTATTTGATTACGATAGGTTCATTTTGTTAGTTAGAAATGCTACTTTACTCTGAAATTTAAATACGCATTATGTTCCGTGAAACCACATAGGAATGACAGTTTAAAATTTGGGTATACTTAATCAAGTCTGCATCATTAGATTCTCATGGGCTTTTGCATTCTAAAGTCACTCATCTTCTAAACCGAAGTCAGACTACTGTTGTTGTTTCTTAAGTTTATCACTTTAGTTTCGAAAGTAATTGATCGGGACAGCTTACAATTTTCTAAATATCAATCGAGTAAATTATTAATAATAATCGTTTCGTTATTATATAACATGAAGTGACTAAAATATGTGCAATTAAACCTTGAAAGTAAACACAGAAATTGATGTTATTCTACTTAAATATTAGCCTAAATAAATGGTTTTAAATATTATTTAAGAGTCTGGTTATTACTTAAAACTTCAGAGCCTGTCCGCACTTCTAATTCTTAATTTCTTCTGGTAAAAAAAAAAAACAATTTCAATACATTCTTAACATTTTTGATATTATTATCTCTATTATGACTGGTGCGCACAATGGACCAACAGGTCTGAGTGCATGGGCATTATGTCCATCTCGATAATAACTATGACTGATGTAATCATTTTAATATATTGATAGATGCCGCTAAATTCAATAGTATTGTTTAAAATTGAAAATATATTTAAGATATTAATTTAAAACTAAAAAATATTTTACTCAAAAGATACAAAATGTATAAAAAAATCTAAAAAAACATACCCCTAGTAAAGTTATCTCTAAGTGATGTTGTCACCTAGTTGATTGTCATATTTTACCAGTTTACATAAATTTAATAATGATTTTTTTAGTGTGTCAATTAATCCCAGTTAATTAAATTATTCTTATTTGTAATCATTTCTATTTCCATCCTTATATTAAGTTATTTGTAATTATTTACGTTTTTAATAAGTTATATGATTGTAATCCACTGGAGATTAATCAATTACTTGATAATTAATATATCTTAAGTCTCTTTATAAACTTGGCTTTTATAAATTCGTTTGGAAAAAATTTTTCTCGCTTTATAATCCGATAAATTATTATTAATATCAAATTAATTAAATTAAGTTATAGGAAAATTACGTTTTAGAAAATGTTCTATTACTGATTTTCAGTAGAACAATTAAAAAACATGCAAACTATCGCTTTTTGTAAAATATCTGAAAAATTAACTCAATTTTCCTATAGCCATTAAACAACAGTTACTTGAGCTGATGAAAATTAGTAAAACTCTTAGTTGTTACTTGCCAAACTTAATACTATTTGTATAAAAAATGATAATTACGCTCATTTATAAAATAATACTAAGTAATTTCTCGAATTGCCTTTTTCTCCTAATCAAATAGTATCCGTAATAAAAATTCGTCTTTAAATAATTAAAAAAAATTTTCATTGAATAACATGGCATCGTCGTATATGATGGATATTGTATTTATATCCGTACTGTATTTTTATGGCGTACATTATTTATTTAAATCTTCAATAAATGTTAATTATTTAAGGTTAAATAATTGCATAGTATAACTTGATTACACAGCAAATTACGATTTCTATAATTTATATATATATATATATATATTTATATTCAATGAAAAATTATACCTCATTGTTTATTAAAACTTTTTTGTTCATAAGTGTACATGATTTAACCGACACTTAAATAAACAATCAATGAAGAACATTCCATTTTAAGCTGTGTGTATGTAGACATAAGAATGTGTCAAGATAACCCGACAAGGTCAGGGTCATTTTTTGTGGTGCTTATTTTATGCATGGACCTCTTGTTAATTAAAAAAATCTGTATTAATCCGCGTTAAAGAAGATTAAAGTACAACCTAAGGTTATCATC